ATTTGCTCTACTCTATTTAATCCCAATGGTAACTGGGTTCCGCCTTTAGCTAGTTTACCGTCTAATCTTTTAGAATTGTTAAAGAAAAATTTACCAGCTGCTTCTATCTTAAGCCCCAGCGATTTTTACAGTCTACAATTAACCGAAGAGGAAATCTTGTCAGGAAAGTGTTCTGCTGATAAGTTGGAACGTTTTGCTCAGGCCTGCATTAAAAACCAAGAACTGGTGGCAGGCAATGTGGAAATAGATCCCGATAACGATATGAATACTTTTATTAACAAGGATGTTATAAGAGACAAAATTATTGCCGATACCTTGGAAGCTCTGCTAGGTGTATGTGTTAAGAATTATGGTATACATCGTAGCTTTCGTATGCTGGAATTTTTTGGTATTTGCAAAGGTGAAAATCAAAGTCTTTGGCAAATCTATTAGATTTAAAATTGAGTGGCAGTCAATTACGGGCAAATATATCGCAAAAAGAAATTGACGGCTTCCTGGGTGAATACAAACATTTGGAGAGAATCTTGGCTATACATTCCGTGATCGTGCCTATTTGCTGCAGGCTTTAACACATCCCTCTTATCCCACAAATCGTTTAACCGGTTGCTAGTCAAGAACTAGAATTTATTGGTGATGCCATACTCGATATGTTGATAACATGTTACATTTTCGAACGCTTCCAGAATATGAATCCCGGTAAAATGACTGATTTGCGTATGGCTTTAGTTAACAATATAACTTTAGGCTGCATATGTGTACGCCATAGTTTCATTTATTTTTACTTTACGAAAATTCAGCCTTATTCGAAGCCATCAAAGTTTTGCCGACTTTCAGGAAAGTCAAAATTATCGTGTCACCGATCAAGTACGCATTTTAATGGAAGAACATAATGATTCTATTAATCCTTTCAATGATATTTTAAACGATTCCAATAACGAGGAGGGCAATAGTGAGGATGATGATGTTGATGATTATGTTGATGATGAGGACATGGAAAAAGCTGAGCACAGGGACTGGCCACGTGAAAACAAAGCCTATAATATGGCAAAAAATGTTGATGTTCCCAAGGCTTTGGGAGATATTGTTGAAGCTCTAATAGCGGCTGTTTATTTGGATTGTCGTAATTTAGATACTACCTGGCAAGTTATCTACAATCTAATGAAGTTTGAAATTGAGGAGTTCTCACGCAATGTACCCATAGATCCGGTGCGTCAATTGGAAGAAAATAAACAAGCCAAGCCGAAATACAAACCGCCTATTATAGACAATAATGATGTGATGGTCGAATGTGTCTTCAATTGTTTGGATAAATTATTTACAACTCATGGTTTTGGTTGTAATGCGAAACAAGCTAAGAAAGCCGCAGCCAAACAAGCCTTACAAATACTAGCTAAACATTCTAATTAGTTTAATTTTAAAGATTTTTTTTAATGGTTAATCTAAAAGCGTGTACCAAGCTTCCATATGCAAAAGGGTTATTACTTATGTTTGAGAAACCTGATGTCAGTTCGAGTAGATTTCCAACATTTTCTCTAATTTTAAGCACAATTGGTCTTTTGGTTTGAATTTCCTTAATTCTTTATTACTTATAATTGAGAAACAGCACTTCAGTTGGAGAAGATTTTTGGGGTTAAATTTCCTTCAACTTTAAACAATTATGAGCCTTTTTTAACTTTGGGCACAGTGACAAGTTGGTCAATTGGTTTGAATAACTTTTACCTCGCCAAATAGTAGAAAGTTTCTAGTAGAAACAAAGGCAGTTATCTTCGTTTTTTGTTAAAAAAAAATAAAAAAAACGAGTATATTTTCTTATCACTATTTTGTGATTGACTCCGTACGGAGGTCATGGGTTCAATTCCCACCAGAGACTCTGGAAAATGAACGCTCAACAGAACTAACTAACTAACTATTTTGTATGTAAAATTGATAATAATATAAAGTTTTATATTTATATAATAAAACGAATGATTTTTGGTATTAAGCAGAAGTTAAGGATGGAAAAATTTGTTAATAATATATTGTAAGGATCGGCTAGGACACTAACATTATGATCAGCATTTGCTTATACTAAAAGTAATAACTCTCATGCATATAATTTTAATTGTATTTTTTTATTTAATCAACTTTATTAAGTATATTTTTGCGATTGCAAATAAAACATTATTATTCACATATGCTACAGTTTTGTAACCCTATAAAGTATATACAATCTGTCTAAATCCACTTGTTGAATCATTCATTCTATCAGACAAAATATCAAGAATATTGCTATTTGATGAATTAGCTAAATCGGGTCCATAATATTGCAGATATGATCAAAATTTCGATATAAAAAAAAACAAAAATATGTATAACAAAAGAAAGAAATTTCGAATAACTTCCATTCGATATACAATATGTCCGGGAATATGAATATGTATGTGTACGAGATACACACAATCCTAAATTATGTTTATTACGAGATTTTACTCATATCTTAACTAAACATTAAAAAAAAATATAGAAATAAATTTAAATTTAAAATTAATATTGTTATTAAAAAAATATACTTTTGGTGACGGGTTTTTGAACTAGATAAAATATGGCACAGCCTTATATATTATTCTTACGTGTTAGCATTAATTAAATGGTGTAAAACGCAAATACTTTTTTAATATATAATATAAATTTATGCCAACAGTGTCATTATTTAAAATTACAATTTTAAAGGGTTTGTATTTTAAAATCATCATATGTATATATAAATACGCAAAGCCAAAACGATTGGAAACATTTTCCGGCTCTATTACTTGACCGATTTTCTTGATTCTTTTTTTGATGAATGCAGATTCTCGAGCCTCACTGCAGAATCTATATATGATCAAAATTGGTTCAGTATTTTCGGAAATATAAGCGTTTAAAGTTTCTACCAATACACAATCACACAAACATGTGCTTGAATTAAAAATAGAAAAGAAAATAATTAAGCAAAACAACAACACTGTTTTTTTCATAAAAGAGAGGAGAGTGTAAAAAACATGTTACTTCTCTGTTGATGGTTTATTTTTGTATTTTGCAATGATATTTTTTGTTGTTGTTTTTAATAAGATTTTGTAAACTAATATGTATACAGACGGGCTTGGGCAAAGCAAAAATATGATTTTGTTTTTTTTTTTTTTTTTTTAAAGTGTAAAGTGATAAATTTTGAATGTAATAATGATATTATTATATTAATGATGTAAGATACAAGAGGATGATGATGTTTGACCTGGGAAAACATTGGTGGGACAACAATTCTACATACATGTATGTAAATGTTAGTTTTTATTGATTTTAAAGATTTTAATGATGAACAAAAACAAAGCCTGTTAAAATATATGTAAGTAGGGTAGTTTAGTTGGTCATGTCGGCATATGATACACCGTAATAAATGAATCGGTATATCACTAATACGTAGGTTTAGCACAGTGAGGATTTGATGATATTCTGCTTTTTCGGGTTATTATAGTACATAGAATATCTACTATTAAATTCGATTAGAATACATTTAAATTTAAGCCAAATAAGTAGTAAGTCAGCTGAAAGAAATCTTTATTGAGTGTTATAAGGGAGAGTTTATACAACATAAACCTGAAGGATGGACTTTTTATACTAAAGACAGTAAATTTATTTATTTCTTATAGAGATAATATATACTATATATACCCCTGTTCGAAAATCCCATTCTGATCTGAAATGGAGTTATTTTGGTAAAGATATTTATTAAAACTTAAAAAAAAAAACAATAATTTATATTTTTTTTTATATAATTCCACTTTTGATCGGAATAAAATCCTTTTACAGAATAAAATTTTTTTAGATCATAATTTGCAATGTACTTTTGAAGGACTACTTCAAGTCTACCTTCTGCGGAAATACATAGTTACAAAAGATGAGAACACAGAAGATATGTTGAATTTTGGTTATTAAAATCTATGTCCAGTTTTGAAAAAATGGTAATAGATTTGGATTCTGTGCGCTCTTGAGAATATTCAATTGTTACAGCCCTATTGCAAATATTTTTAGGGGTTTGTACTTTTCTGATTCCTCTTAACAACAGTAAAGTAAAGAATTACAATTTCACTTCCAAATAACTATAAAAAATATATTATAAAACTAATTCTTGAGAATGACTTCAGGAGTAATGAATTTGGAATCAGATAAAAGAGACATTCCGCCTATAAATAATCTGTGTTAAAATCATCTCTTCCGTAGGTCTTTTCTTTTTTGTTGGGATATAAAGATATAGGTTGAATATTATTACAAGTTACAAAGAAATAGTGCTGGGCAGGTTCGACATTGTTTACGACAAGGGGCATGAATGATTGCTGGAGGAATTGGCAGATTGTTAAACATAGGGAAATATCATATTGTAAGGAATGAATACATATATCATATTGTAAGTTTTGCATAGATTTTATGAACATTTATGTAGAGGATAATAAATCGAAATATTTTTGAAAAAGATGTTGCATAAATAATTTTAGAACTTAGATTTTAAACTTCTTTCAGAATTTAAACAAATTTTATCACATTTTCTAAAAGAATACGTTGATCAAAGCAAGTTTTACACTTTGATAATAGCAATAGGAATAATTTTTTCAGACATTTGAACCATAAAAGTAAGGATTTATTTTGCAGCATAAGTATGCAATCTTTCCTTCAATGGTTCCGGTCGAATTTCGGCCGCGGGGCGAACTCTAGTAGCAATAAATTGTCAGTAATGCTTTTTCTGACAACGTTGCAAAAGAAACATTGTAAGTTCACATGATTGTTGGATATTTTCTGCACATTTGACTGACAACGTTGTAAGATCAGAAAACCGTGTATTCGTAGATCGTCCAATGTCATTCCATAAGAAGATAGTTCAAAAGAAAATAAGAAAGGATCAACGAGTTACAAAATATAAAAGATGTCAAACCTAGAATATATCGATTCGAATTCGATAAATAGTGTAAAATAAAAAAACACACTTTATTGGCTTGGGTGCAACATTAATTGTTTATTATTCTTCTTCTTAATAATTGTATGTAAATATTTCAGTTTCTACAGACTACAACGAGATTTTTTTTATTTATAGTTTATTGGTCTTATTATATACAAAGAGAAATGCCTAGAGTAAAAATAATAATAAAACGATACATTTTCTTCACTCCTTAAAAAAAACCAACCAATTAAACAACTTTGCACAAATTGAAGATACAAAATAAAATCAAAAAGAAAATAGGTTTAAAAACAAATAAGTAAAACAATATAATGGCGAATTTTTTTTTAAGGGAGGGAGGCAAGTTTTAATTGCATAAAACATGGAATGAGTGTTAAAAAGAAAATAAACCCAACTATAAACTATAGGTAATAAATTTTCTTGCTTACATACAAATTGAGAAATTTCGACATTTTAGGTATTAAAAGTGCTTATATTACTACTTAGATGAGATTTTCAAGATTTTGTTTGTAATGTTTAAAAATTATTAAAAAAAAAAAACACTATAAATACACACAGATAAAATATAAGGATATGCCGGAGTAAAAATAAAAATAAGAGAAAAATAAAACACTAAACATAGTGTTGTTTTAAAAGAAAACTTAAACGCGACAGCCACAATCCGGCTTATTAATACTTCGTTGTCGTGTTTGTTGTAGATTTCTTAAAGCGGCCCCACCATATTGTATACCACTGCCTATACGCTCCGGATCTAGTTCACCCGTTTCTATTTTAGCCAAAATAGTTTTGGAACATTTTAAAAATGCCTCTTCAACATTTTCACCAGTTTTTGCACTTGTTTCCAGGAATATTAATTCTAGCAAGTATAGCAAAGTTTAAAGCTTGTTGCTGTTCATAAGTAAAATATAAACTTACCATTTTCTTGGGCGAATGTAGATGCCTCCAAAAATGTAACATCTCTGGCTTCTTCTAAATCTTTTTTATTCCCAACTAAGAGTATAACTATGTTAGGACTTGCCAATGTTCTGGCATCATTAAGCCAATTTGTTAAAGCATTAAATGAGTCACGTGATGTTGTGTCATAGACCAATAAAGCTCCAGCTGCCCCACGATAATATGAGCGTGTTACCGAACGAAAACGTTCCTGACCAGCAGTATCCCATATTTGCAATTTTAACCGATTTACCACCAACATTAACAATACGTGATCCAAATTCAACGCCTATGGTATGAGAGCTGTCATCTTTAACTATAAAAAAGCATTATTATATGTTATATTTAAAAAAAAAATCAAATTAAAAAACAAAATGATCAGAAAATTGCTTCTTCGACATTTTCTGAAAACTTTCGGAGATCCCTACTTTCCAAGTACACATTATAAATCAATATTCCAATTACATAATATTTTTAATTTCTATAAAATTTCAATATTACTGAATGAAACTACACTCACCTCACACATATCCAGCCCTGCTTACTAAAAACATTTAGGCCAAATTTTATTTTGAATATATTAAATTTAACACCCACTCATTAGCATATTAAATCTATCTAAACACAATATTAGGTAATTTAAGACAAAATATTTAACTTAAATCAACATTTTAGAAATTCCCCCAAATAAAAATTTACACAATTTTCATTATTGCAATACCACTCTTCTGACCTTAGACGATTTACAACAAAATCATTGAATTTTTTTACAACAAATACTATTATGGGGAAATAGGAGTTATTACTGTTGTTGTATGCAGCAACAACAACAAAGAAACAAAAAAAAACAAAACACGCAATTATTTGCAGCAGCAGAAAATTTGTAGAAAACTTTTTTTATGTATAAAAAATTCTTTTACTTACATTTATTTTCAATAAAATGATGCAATAAACAACTTTTACCACTGCCAGCACTACCAATTATTAAAAACTTAAATAAATAATCTGAAAATCATAGAAAAAAATTAATAAAATACACTCTGGCTGCGAACTAGTTTACGATTTGTAACAAAGAGTTTTTTTGTGGGTTTAATTGATTACCGTATGTTTCAGACATTGTTATTTAGTCTGTTTTCTTTGCGTTTCAATTAATAGTTTATTATTTTGTTGCTTGAGTTGTTATTATAACAATTATTTTGTATATTTAAATTAAAATAACATTAAAATGCAATTTCGATATTTTACTTATTTAATAGTTGTCACTAAACTATGACTAAAGTTATTGTTGTTTTCGTTTTTTTTTCTTCACACTACCGTGTGCTGTCATTTGTTGCAGTGTTGATAGTTTAGAGATTTTTTTTTTGAATTGTAGCGATTTTGAGAAACCAGTTTATAGCAAGTTTTTTTGTAGGGGTATCATATTTTAGAAAAGTATTTGGGGATTTATAGAGCATTTTAATTGATATGCTTTTTTAGAAACTGAAATATATTTTCTATGCAAAATATTGTTCTTACAAAACTAGGAACAAATCTGAAAACACAACTTTCATGTACCATAATTCTAAAACACAAATTTTTACAATCTTAAACTTAGAATTAAAGGATAATTTTGAATGTAGCTCAAGAATGAATACACCTTTTTGTGCAAAAAATTAAAGTTACATTTGATATGTAATCTGATCTATGGTACCCTGGTCTGGTTGAAGGAATAAGTACTTCATAACACCAATCCATTTCGTATAAGCTACAAGGACTGATGTTGTTGTAACAGTTTGAGTGTGGTCGATAGTTCTTTACTGGCTAAAAAACTATGTTGATACAGTTGCCGTTCAGTCGGCCAACTTTGGCCGTGTAATAATCGGGTCGCTCCGGAGCGAAGATACTTGGGTAAGTTTTAAAAAAGACTAGCTTATTCTGCTGGCACCATTAGCTTCCACCTTCACACCTGTCTGGACATAATGCTTGACATACAAACTTTTGAAAATGCTTATGCATATTATAACGAAAAATCTTTTTTTAAGTTAAATCTTATACATTTATTGTGATTAACTAAAATTTAACTTAATAATAAGAAGTCTAATAAAAATGAACATTATCTATTCAGATTTTTCGAATTTAGAACCATAGAAGGGTACGTATTGCAATACCAACTTCCAGTCGGTGAAGTACAAGAGGGTCAAACCGGCAGCACCACCAAATCCAGCGGCAGAAGAAACACTGTAAATAAAAGCAACAACACAAATTAGTTCCAGCAATACTCCGAATGATAATATGTACTTAAAACGTAAATGAAGATGGTGTTAGCAAAATATTGATTATGCAATGTGTTGTGTGAACAATAATTCACTGGGTAAAACATAAACTTTTTAACATTTCTTAATACATTAAGGAATCCTAATTCATAATACTTACAAGGAGGTGGCAATTTCAGCGTGTTTCTTTCCAAAGGGGAGTTTCATTTTGTTAAGTTATTTTTTGGTAATTATTCCTTAACAAAAAACCACTACGACAAAAAGTCTGATCCAAAATTTTTTTAATGAATGCCAAAAAAATTGACAACTGGTACGAATACAGTAATAACAATTAAGCAATTTTTTGTAAGAAATTTAGTACTAAAAATTCTAGCGATTTTTTAAATAATGAAATCTGATCTTAACTATTTTTAGTTAAAAAGTGTTTTAGTGTATTTAGACACCTTTATTAAACAATTTTAAACAATTGCTGATGAAAATAATAAAATTTAAGCAACATTTTTACACCTAAATTAAATAAAAAGTTGTCAACAATTCTTATATATGACGACTAAAATAACATCTCTGTTTTAACTTTTGGTTGAAGTGCCAGATTGCTTAGTTTTCAAATACTATTCACAATAGTTAATAGATTTTGTTGAACAACACTGTTTAATTAATCATTTTTTTTTTGTTATCAGACAGCAACAACAACAAGCTACCTGCTACTAACTAGTCAATTTTTATTAAATTTTATTACAATTATAGTTTTCTAATTAGACATTTAAATAATTACAAAATGGCCTTATTTACTTCTTTCAATTTATTTGAATTATTTATTGCTTTTAGTGTAATGCCATTGGTATTTGTTTTTCTGTGGTGCTTAATTGTCGGTGATTTTAAGGTACATTTTTTTATATACTATAAGTACTTTTTTTCGACAGTAGTACTTTCTGTCTTGTGTATTTTCATTTGTTAATGTTTGGTTTTATTCCAGAATTTCCGGGGCAGCTATAAAGCTTATACTGTATTCACCGCCAAGGATCCCATTAATTGCTATCAAGATTATGTTGAACCACAAAAAACTAAATGATTCTATTGCATGTTTATTGAATTATTTTTTTTAAAGTATTAATAAATTTAAATTATTTTTTTTTAGAAATTGTGTTGTTATTAAAAGATGTCATTTATTATTATGGTGTCATTTTCAAAAGTAATTCAGAAAAGCTCAATTGTAAATAAGATTTTTCATTTTAGATTTAGAAAAGAACAGTTGAAAATGGGATTTTTCGTTTGAAATTGAGAAAAGAACAATTGAAAATGAGAATTTTCAATTATAATTCAGAAAATATCAATTGAAATTGAGATATTCCATTTGAAATTCAGAAAAAAACAGTAGAAAATTAGATTTTTTATTTGAAATTAGGAAAATTACAATTGAAAATGAGATGTTTCATTTCAAATTCAGAAAATTCCAGTTGAAAATGAGATTTTCCATTTGAAATTCAGAAAATTTCAATTGAAAATGAGATTTTTCATTTGAAATTTAGAAAAATCCAATTGAAAATGAGATTTTTCGTTTGAAATTCAGAAAACTACATGTATGGATGTTTTTCAACCTTAAGTTAAAAGAAATAACATACTTTTTTTTTTACTTTTTTTCTCATTTTCAATTGCATTTTTCTGAATTTCAAATGGAAAATCTCATTTTCAATTGGAATTTTCTGAATTTAAAATGAAAAATCTCATTTTCAATTGTTTTTTTCCGAAATTCAAATAAAAAATCTCATTTTCAACTGTTATTTTCTGAATTTCAAATGGAAAATCTCAATTTCAATTGATATTTTCCCAATTTAATATGAAAATTCTCATTTCCAATTGTTCTTTTCTAAATTTCAATTGAAAAATCCCATTTTCAAATGTCCTCTTCTGAATTTCAAATGGAAAATCTCAATTTCAATTAACATTTTCTGAATTGAAATGAAAAATTCTCATTTTCAATTGAAAAAGGTGTAGTAGGTATGACCTCATTTTCTGCAGGGATTTTATAGAAGTTAGTGATTTGAAGTGAAAGGAATCCGCCCTAATGAACTCTATGTAGACGGTTAGATAAATTACTAAATAGATATGTACATAGTTAGGAGAAATAACAGGTGGCATGATTGTCCCTTATTAACATCCTCAACTATCATTAACAGGAAATGATTCTCCCTAATTTTACCAAAATGAACGCAACCTTAAATGAATCGAAAAATTAAACAACCCACAAAAAATAAAACAATTTTCTAAATAAAATTAATATTCTTAACTATAGTTTTATTTGAAAATATTACAATATAAAAAAGTTAAAATTGGCTGGCATTAAAATTCAAGTTAGTACATATTTCTAATGAAAAAAAAGATTCATTCAATTACTTATTTCTTAAATGTTTTGCTACGTTACTTTAGTACATTTCAATATATGACTTAAAATTAAAGAAAAATAAAATAAAAAATACATATACATAAAGCATCACAATATTTATAAACAATTTTTGAAAGAATTCTTTTAAATCTTTAACAACTAACTATATTTATATATAAAGATAAAGACAACAAAATATGTATAAACAATGTTGTTGTGTTAAAATACCAAGTTAATACAAACTTAAAAGTTATAAAATTATAAGTTTAAGGAAGCCTTGTAGCGTTTTAAAATGTATTTATTTATACCAGTTAATTGCTGCTACAATTTCATTATTCGATTTTTATAATGTTAATAATAATAATTGTAATTAATAGTTTTAAATCAAATTATATAATTTTACTATTAATTCCTTTTGTTCTTTTTTGTGTTTTGCTCATTGCTATAATAATAAAAAATAGAAAATTCTTATAAAACTAATATTTCTTAGAAAAATTTTGTAAAATTTTAAAACCATTAAAATGAATGGATGTAAAACAAAATATGTATATAATTACTAAGACGAAATCTTTATTTAACTTTAAATCGACCAGCGTTTAAAAAGTATAAATTAAGAATTTCTAATAATGGCAGTTTGAGAAAAAAAATCTTTAAAAAAAATATATAACGAAAACAAATTTTGATCGAAATATTAGAAAAACTCTTAATAACAATAATTAATATGATACTTGATATGTTTTATAAAATAAACGTTTAACATTATTTTAAAAGAAATAAAAAAAAAAAATAAAAAAATTTTGAATTAAACTTACAGTGTTACAAGTCTTTTAAATTATTATTTTTTTAGTATTTTTTGTTGTATGTTTTAATTTATAAATCGGGTTCAACGAATGAAGCAGGAAATAAACCAGTCTTATATGTTCGTGAATTGGTACCTTTATACCAACCATTTTTTTGTTTGCGGTATACAAATATAATGTCACCGACTTGTAGCTCCAATTCGACATCACTGTTGGGCGGATAAGGAACCACACAGCGAAAACGACTGAAAACAAAGAGAAAATATTTAAAGTAAAATAAATCGAAATGTATCGACCTGTATCAATATTATGAATTTATCTGAAGCAATATGAATCAAACTAAATCTATTTAAATATATCCTGTTCTAACTGAATCTATGTGAATCTATTTAAATCTATTGTGAATTATCTGAGTGGCCGTCAGTCGTTCGTAGAGTTTAGAGACAAAAAACTCGTAGAGTTAAACAGAGTGCACCACAGGGCGTGGGTCACCCTTGACAGCCTGTTTACATCCTCAGCTCATGCTACTGCAATTACGTACAGATTGCCAAGTAAAAACAAGATCCTCTAAGCACTAGCCTGTAGCACTTGGGAAATGGACAAAGAAACCTTGTTGGCTACCTATAAAGCAATTGGACGGTCAGTGGTCAATTATGCTGCTCCAGTATGGTCTCCTTCCCTAAGTCCATTACGTTCTTTGAAGGTCCTCCCAGTCAAGGGACATAATGTCATGCTGGCTTGGAATGGAGTTCGTATACAGCAGCTTTGAACGACATTCACAGAGACGCCATCAATACCGCGATTTTAGGTTACCACATGAATGTCGCCCACAGCCCATAGCTGAAATATAGAAGAACCTTCCGCGGAAAACAAGAGTTTCTTTGGCATAACTGAGATCGAGA